CCCATATATAAGGAGTAGCTTTGGGAATGGTCTCTAGCACATGGCACCCTTGGACCCTGCCTGAAGCCATGTCGTTGTTCAGCAGCCTGCCATGCTCTGCCGACCTTGGGACTTACAGTGGACTTGAATTAATGGCCTGCTGTGTGGTTTGGTAACATCAGGACTGTGCCTTTTTACTTGTCAACCTTGAGCTTGGCATCCTCAGCAGCCAGCAGCTGTCTGAGTGAAGAAAAGCCTCTAGCTTCAGAGGGCTGGGAGCTGGAGGCAGAGCTGAAGCCCAAGGTTGAGGGGCTTTCACCTAGCCCCTAGAGCCTTGCATTTTGAATTTACACTTCTGAAGTGTAAGAGAATAAACTCCTACTTGTTAAGGCCATCCCATTTGTGGTATATATTCTTGTCAGAGCTACACTATGTAACCAGAACACATGGCATGACTTAAATTGAGGAGAAACAGCTGCAAACATCCATTGATAATCGGGACATGGAGTGTATGAAATATGAATCTAGGAAAATTGGAAGTTGTCAGAAATGAAATCAAAAGCATAAAGATTGATATCCTAGGCATTAGTGAGCTGAAATGGACCAGTTTGAATTAAACAACCATATGATTTACTGTGCCAGGAATGACAATTTGAAGAGGAATGGCATGGCGCTCATCATCGCAAAGGATGTTTCAAATCTGTCCTGAAATACAATGCTGTCAGTGATAGGATAATGTACATATGCCTACAAGGAAGACCAGTTAATACTACTGTTATTCACATTTATGTACCAACCACCAAAGCTAGAGATGAGAAAATTGAAGATTTTTATCAATTTCTGCAGTCTGAAATTGACTGAGCATGCGATCAAGATGTGCTGATTATCACTGGTGACTGGAACGCAAAAGTTGGAAACAAAGAAGAATCACTGGTGGCCTTGGTGACAAAAATAATGCTGGAGGTAGTGTGATAGAATTTTTCAAGACCAATGTCTTTATTCATTGCAAATACCTTTTTTTCAACAACACAGATGGTGGCTATACACGTGGACTTTGCCAGATGGAGAACACTGGAATCAGATTGACTACATCTGAGTGAAGTGCTGAAGAGGCAATTAAAAAGCTCAACATCTTCAGTTAAAACAAGGCCAGGAGCTGATTGTGGAACAGACCATCAACTGCTCATATGCAAGTTCAACTTGGAGTTGAAGACAATTAAAACAAGTCTATGAGAGCCAAAATATGACCTTGAATATATCCCTCCTGATTTTAGAGACTATTTAAAGAATAGATTTGATGCATTGAACACCAGTGACCGAAAACCAGACTAATTATGGGATGACATCAAGAACATCATCCATGAAGAAAGCAAAGAGTTCATGAAAAAAAAAAAAAAAAAACAAGAAAAGAAGAAAAGGCCAAAATGGATGTCAGAAAAGACCGTGAAGCTTGCCCTTGAGTGGAGTGTAGCTAAAGCAAATGGAAGAAATGACAAGATAAAAGAGCTGAACAGGGGATTTCAAATAGCGCCTCAAGCAGACAAAGCCAATTAGTATAATGAAAGTACAAAGACCTGGAATTAGAAAACCAAAAGTGAAGAACATGCATGGCATTTCTCACACTGAAAGAGCTGAAGAAATAGTTTAAACCGTGAGTTGCAATATTGAAAGATTCTATGGGCAAAATATTGAATGATGCAGGAAGCATCAAAAGAAGATGGAAGGAATACACAGAGTCGCTGTACCAGACGGAGCTGGTAGATCTTCATCCATTTCAGGAGGTGGTATATGTTCAGGAACCAGTGGTATCGAAGGAGGAAGTTGAAGCTATACTGAAGGAATTGGTGAAGAACAAGGCTCCAGGAATTGACAGAATACCCATTGAGATGTTTCAACAAATGGTTGCCCTGCTGGAGGCACTCACTCAGCTATGCCAAGAGATTTGGAAGACAACTGACTGGAAGAGATCCGTATTTGTACCCATTCCAAAGAAAGGTGATCCCACAGAATTTATAAATTATCAAAAATATCATTAATATCACATGGAAGTAAAATCTTATTGAAGATAATTAAGAAACGGTTGTTGCATTATCTTGACAGACAATATGCAGGGGTGCAATCTGGATTCAGAAGAGGATGTGGAGCAAGGGATATCATTGTTGATGTCAGATAGATCTTGGCTGAAAGCAAAGAATACCAGAAAGATGTTTACTTGTGTTTTATTGACTGTGCAAAAGCATTTGATTCTGTGGATCATAACAAATTGTGGATAACATTGAGAAGAATGGGAATTCCAGAACATATTACACTGGGCAAATCTGCTGCAAAAGATCTCTTTAAAGTGCTGCAGAGCAAAGATGTGTTTTTGGAGACTAAGGTGTGCCTAACCCAAGCCATGGTGTTTTCAGTTGCCTCATATTCATGTGAAAGCTGGACAGTGAATAAGGAAGACCAAAGAAGAGTTGATACCTTTTGAGTTGTGGTGTCAGCAAAGAATACTGAAAGTACCATGGACTGCTAAAAGAACTAACAAGTCTATCCTAGAAGAAGTGCAGCCAGAATGCTCCTTGGAAACGAGATGGCCAGAGCTTCCTATCACCTACTTTGGTCATGTTGTCAGCAGGGACCATTCCCTGGAGAAGGATATCATGCTTGGTAAAGTTGAGGATTAACAAAAAAGGGCAAGGCCCTCAATGAGATGGATTGACACAATGGCTGCAGTGATGCTCTCAGATATAGCAGGGATTGTGAGGCTGGCACAGGATCAGGCAGTGTTTCGTTCTGTTGTACATAGGGTCGCTGTGAGTTGGAGCCGAGTTGAGGGCACATGAGAACAACAACAACAAAAACAATCATTTGTCAGGCTTAGTTCTTATTTAAACCTCATAGTTTCCCACTCCTTTAAGAAGAGATTAGGACACTTGGGCTTTCAAAGTTTACAGCTTGCCCTGGGTTGTACAGCAAGTGCATGATAAAACAAGGATTTGAACCCAAATTTGTCTCTTTGATGACAAATTTCAAACTCTTACCCACCAGTGGTTCCCAAACTTTAATGTGTACAATTTATATTTCTGTCTAGTTCCCAGGTGATATGCTGATCCTGCTGGTCCTAGGGACTACACTTTGAGAACCTTTGTTGTGTACTGCCTTTCCTGACTTGGATCCTTTGAAAAGTAAATGAGAGAGAGCATTCCTGTACCATGCTTGTGTAAATAACAGCTAAAATATATTGACTACTTACCAGTCCCTAAGGAGCTCTGGTGACCCAGTGGGCTGCTAACCAAAAGATTGGCTATTTGAACCTACCAGCAGTTCTGCAGTAGAAAGATGAGGCAATCTGCTTCTGTTAAGATTTAAAGCCTTAGAAACCTTATGGGGTGGTTATACTATGTCCTACTATGTCACTGTGAGTCAGAATCAATTTGATAGGTATGGGTTTTTTGGTTTTATCAGTCTCTGGGTAACACAAATGGTAGGCGCTCAGCTGCTTACTAATTGAAAGGTTGGTGGTTCAAATCCAACCAGAGGTGCCTCTCAGGAGAGGTCTGGTAATCTTCTTATGAAAGGCTACAGCCATGAAAACCCCAGAATGCAGTTGTATTCTGAAACATATGGGATCATGATGAGTCAAAATTGACTCAATGGCAACTTTTAATTTTTTTAAAATCATATCTTTGACATTATTCTAAGTGAATTCATTTGTTCTCCATGTTAATCTTAATTAATATGAGTAAAATTCAGAGAGAGAATGGGGATTGTGATGGCTACTTAAAATTGAAAGAAACTGAAATAGAGACAGAGATAGAGGCCCACCTAGATTGTGTGATAGTGACTTGCAGTGGTTGTCCTCATTATTACTTCTGTCAGTTGAGCTAGTTTTGTAGGTCAGTCTCCCTGACATTATCTCCAGCAACAGATATCATGTTATGGGAGGCTGAGAGTAAAGGAGATAGCGCTTTTTTTCGTCCATTAGTGCCTTGTGCTGTTGGAAAACTCTTGCTGGCTAGGCCAGGGAGGGAAGGATTTCCTTTCTTTTCGTATCATTCTCCCAGAATTCTAAAGGGTAGATGATGCACTTGATTCTTCTGATTATGATGTGATTCTGGAAATGACTTGTATTTCATTTGAACTATGAGATCTTTGATATTCATTAGCATGAGTTAAAAAGATTCCAGGAGATTTTTAATGTAAGAACTGTTCTGTTAATACCAGTGCATCATATTAGAAAGTAAGTTTACTGGCAATTGTCACCCTACAAGAAAGCGTTCATTAATCTGTAGTATTACCCTGTCTCTCGCTGCCCTAACAGCCAAGAAATACTCAATAGCAGAAAAAGCTGAGAAACTTGTACTCTGCTTTGGAAACTATACAGGTTCTCTATTAAATAATTTTAAAGCTTAAAGACAACATTTAAGGCAATTTCTAAAAGTGAGATTACGTTTTGATGTAAGAATAGTATATGTCTGGTTTTATTAAAAAAATTTGTAGATTGGCTATTATGTACAAGATACTTACACATATAACACATGTTTGACACTTTTCTCAAAAAGAACTTACAGTGGACCTCACAATTGAGTGTTTAGTTGATTTATGTAAGATCATCCAAATCTCAGATGTGAATCTTGTCTTAGAGCTACTGATATGATTATTTCCATGATACTGGTATTTGAATCCTGGGAATATATATATACATACATATATATGTATATATATATAGCTTGGAGTCCTTCCTCATTTAGAATTGCTTTATTTATTGTGTAGATCTATGTTCCAGTCTTAAACTTTGAACTTTCAAAAAGGGTTATGATGACTATTTCTACTTTTTTGGATATCCACAGTAGTGTTTCATCCTTTTTTTTCTTTCCAGAGATTTCAAGCACAGTAGAGCAAATCCTAGAAATAGTCAAGAACAACAAAAGAAATGCAGTGTAGACAGTTAACTTTCCATTAGGGTGTTGAATTTTTGACTTATGTGGTTTGATGGAAAGAATCACTGGTATATTTATTCTGGTTTGTTATAGGTTAACGAAGCCCTTGTCGTTTGCTGATTGTGTTGGGGATGAGCTGCCATGGGGATGGGAAGCAGGGTTTGACCCTCAGATTGGTGTCTACTACATCGATCACATCAACAGTAAGTTTTCCTCTTTGGTGAAAGCAAAGCCATCAGAAGAAAAATTCCAAAAAGAAAAGTGCCAGTGTGCACAAAAAGATCATTTTACGAAGTGATTCTTATTTTAAACCCACTTTCTCAATGATTAATACTTAACTGAAATTCACATTTTGAAAATTAGGACATAAGAGTAAAGTTGGACTTACAGTGGTAGAGAAGAAGAAAGAGAAAGTGTGTTTGGTTTGTCTGTCTGCCTGTTTGTCAGGGAGCAGTTTTCTTCTTCAGTGCAGATTGAGAGGCCTCGTGGATGCCACTTACTGGCCTAAGGAGGCATGAACCATTTGGCCCCCCTTTTTGATGACATTGCACCTTGAGATTGGAATTCCTCCTTTTCTTGTTCATGCCACAGAAAGAATAGGACATTGGTTCAGTATGGTCTAAAGGCAAGACATGGTAGTTTTTGTTGAAATGGTGATATAGGGTGAAGTTGACACACTTCAACAGTTCTGAAAGACAGAGCAATAGCTGTGGAAAAGACTTAAACCCTTTTCTTGTTTCCTGATTTTTTTGTTGTTAGAAGGGTAAGAACTCTCATAATAGCTTTTAAATCTACCACACCCCCATGTGGTAAGGCTAAAGGTTGGATTATCATGGCCAGAATACTCACTATTACTCATTTTGCTTATTTCCCTTAAAAATACTTACTAAATTTGGGGGACTGAAGAGTAGATTTATTCCCTCTTACTTCTCTTAAGTCTATTCGTACATTAAAAATTGTTATATAACACAGTGTTCTTTAATATCTTTAAGGATCAAATCATTAGAAAAAAGTATTATTTGATACTCATTTATTAGTTATAGCTTGCACTCCCCTTTTGTAGATACATGCTAATTTTTTTGAGAGACCAAAGACTTCTTGATTAATAGCAGTGATGTCTTAGAAAACTAATATATTCACATCACTAATATTTTAGTTTGTGGAAATAATTGTTGCAGTGATTCCACTATCAGAGTCTTTCTTTTTCTGTGCAAATATTCACTTCCCAGGATGATTGAAAGGGGTTCCAGAACTAATTGAACTGTACTGCCCAAGTCAGAAAACTGCAGAAGCCAAAGGGTGAGCGTGGGTGAAACTTGAACTTGAGTGAAAGGCTTTGTGCTTCCAGGTGATCTGGTTGTGAGGCTCCCAGTAAAAGTGAAGTCAGGATGAAGAAATTGTTTCCAGTATTTATACTTTTTGAAGGAAATGTTCTGCCTAGGAGACAATCATGAACAGATAATAAAACGTTCACCCCCAACTCAGTGGCAGACAGGGAACCAGAAGAGATGACTAGTAAGAAACATGATATGATGAATGTCCTTATATGCCAGGAGGCTTGAAGATAGCATTATGACTAGGAATTACATTGGAATAGATTTGAGAGCTGTAACATAGTCTAATCTCAGGAGTAGGTGAGGTATAGGGTTTGGAAGGCTAAAACACGTTGAAGTATGAGGCCAGTTTTTTTTTTTTAAAGAACATGCACAATTATCTGTTAGAGTAGAGCATCTGGTATATAAGGTTTTGATGTACAGCTTTTACGAATATGTTAAGACAACATAAATAGAGTTAACAGCTTTTGTATGTTGTTGCCTCTGTCACTTTTTTTTTTTTTTATCTAATTAGAATCAGTGTGGCTTTAAAAAAAATTTTGTAGAGATAATATTTTCTGCAAATTTCATGAAGAACTGACACTTGTGTGTTTTTTTAAAATTAGATTTTAGTATTTTCTAATAAACTGTTCCCAATTCTGTATTACTAGCATTAGGTTTTGTTGCTTATTAGTTACTGACAACTGAATGTTTTCATCTATTATGATAGAAGGAATTGATTTGGCAAAATTAAGTTCATTTTAAATAATTGTGATTCATCCTTCAGTTATTGCCAATAAACAGTTCAGTGGGATATCTGAAATGTTTAACTATGTAACTCTCACTTTTATACTTATTTTACATGGACAAAGGTTTAGCTTTATTTTCCTGAATTTAATATTTTGGAAACAAGAAACCAACCTAGCTGTCCTGGTTCAACAGAAGTAAACTCTCATGGTACCAAAATGAGAAAATGAAGTTTCTCAACTTCTCTCCCACTATCTACAAACTCTTCTGTGTCTAAAGACGCCTTCTTTCCCAGTGGAAGAGAGAGTCTTCTGGACTCCCTCTCTCCATCCTCTATCCTCCACAAATTTCCTCTTTACAAGTTTTCTGTCTCATTCTTCTCTCTTGTTTGGTATCTTTATCTATTTCATGGTTTTAAAAATTTCTCCCCCCATTTCTATTGCTTCTTTTATCTTATTTTTTAAATATTGTAAATCTCAAAATGAAGCCAAAGCAAGATTACGAAAAAAGAAAATCAAACAGACAAATAACAGTGTTTTGGTCCTCTATTGCCCTTCTAACAGACAATACCACAAATGGGTGGTTTTAACAAACAAAGATTTATTCTCCTACAGTTCAGGAGGCTAGAAGTCCAAGTTGAAAGTGCCAGCTCTTTGGGCTGGATAAAAGCCCCTCGACTTTGGGCTTCAGCTCTGCCTCTTACTCCTGGCCCACTGAAGCTGGAGGCCTCTCTTAACTCAGGCAGCTGCTGGCTGCTGAAGTTGACAAACCCATGGTTGACAAATAAAATGGCATATTCCGAAGATTACTGAACAACATGGCAGGCCACTAGTTCAAGTCCAGAGACAGTCCCAGGATTGGCAGGAAACATGGCAGGCTGCTGAATAAAGACTCAGCTACATGCAAGGTCCAAGAGTGCCAAAAAGTTCAGTGACCTTTCTCAATGTTGCTTCTTATATACTGTTAGCTGACCACATTCCTAGGGCAGCTACTCAGTGGCGCCAGTAGATTCCACCATGGTGCTGATTACCAGTCTCATTGTAGGGAATAACTACACCCAGCTGCCTAGCCACTCAAAACCAGGCCCAGCCAAATTAGCTCACAACTACCACAAACAGCAAACACATACATATATAAAACCATTCTTCATTTGTGGTCCATTCTTGTTCCCTTCTGTATTAGAGCTTAAATTCTGAAGCACTTGGTTTGTGGAAGGCTGCTGTCTACAATGGGAGCCCTGACTCCATTTTGTGTCTTAACATAAAGTTCAGAAGCCCTTTAAGTTCTTTATGACTTTTAAACAAACATTGTGGCTATGCTTAGACAAGTCTGGACAGACCTAGGAAGTGGTAGTTTGTCCTCAGGAAGAGTGTGGTTGAAAGTAGGTTATGCTCACACAAAGATCTAGGGAACTTGCCTGAACGTGTCCTTTTCTAATTTAAATTAAGTTTGGAGTCCTCGTATTGTCTTGTAAACAAGTTGTGGCTATGACTCAGGCTATATAGCCCTGAGTCATATCAGAACCACCACCTAGCCAGCTGGTCAAACCCTAGAACTAATCTGGTAACCCTTTTTAATCTTTAGTTATGTACATAACCCAGTCATAGTCCTTTCCCCACTGTGTCTGTAGTCCCATTTGAGACAGTGAAAAATTGGTCTGCCGCCAATCATAATTTTGTAATGATTTCCTTTGTTTTCAATCATATGTAATTAGCCCCATAGCCGTGACTCAGTGAACTCCATTCAGCGTTCTGTACTGTGTGCATGCTGTTGGTTTCTCTCATGTTGGATGGTTGTCTTTGTTCTAAGACTTAATCAAAGGGTCTCTCTAGATCATGTTTAATCTGGGGTCTTTTTTCTCCTACTACACTTTACAGCCAAATTTATTGAAAGCCATATTGTTGTTGTGTACTGTCAACTCAGTTCTCGCTCAGAGTTGATCCTATATGGCAGAGTAGACCTGCCCCACAGGGCAGTATTTAGAGAAGCAGATCAGCAAGTCTTTTCTGGTGGGTTTGAACAGCTCAACACTTGTATAGCAGCCCAGCACTTACCCATTTAGCCACCAGGGCTCCTTCCTGAAAGCCCTAGTCCATGCAAACTTCACTTCCTACTTAGTTTTCCATCATTGCACTGAAACTACAAAATCTTGCCAGAATCTCTTGAGGTCTCACAGATGGTGAAATCCAAAAGAGTTTTGTTTTCTTCCTTGATCTGATATAATCACTTGTCACTGTAAAACACTCTGTGCTCTTTATTCCTTTGGATTTCATGACATGCTCTATTTTAAGTCTCCCCTGCACCTGGCTGTTCTTGCCCAATTTCCTTTTGCCAATACCTGGTATCCAGATTTTTGTAATAGTCTTCTGCTGTTTGCACATTGTAGATGTCTTTGGGTGAATATCTTCAGTTACTTTCTTCAAGTTGATGGCTGCCAAATTTGTGTCTCAAGTTTTTTCAGGAATTGCAGATATATTTATGTGATTCCTTGCCTACATAAACAGTGCTACCAGAGCTCCTTGTCTAGCTCCCAGGCCTTCCGATTTGGCCAGTTCCCATCCTTATAGGATCCCTCTGCTCAGGGATCACTAATTCCCAAAACCCTTCTCTGACACCCACTTTTCTACCTTGTTGGTCCCATCCCCATTCTGTATTAGATGCATAACCAAAAACCAAACTCACTGCCATCGAGTCGGATCCGACTCATAGCAACCCTTCCTTGGGTTTCTGAGGCAGTATCAGTATGGAAGTAGATTGCCCCATCTTCCTTCTGAGGAGTGGCTGGTGAGTTTGAACCTCCAGCTTTCTGGTTAGCAGTCAAATGCCTTAGGCGCTACACTACCAGTGCTCCCATTAAATACATATTTCTATTATACAAATACTTAGGATTTTTTTTTTTTCTTTAGAGAAAAACCACTTCTTATATTGTGTTTTAATTATTCGGTTGTAGATTTTCCTCACTAAATAATGAGCTTCTTGAGGTAGTAACTGTACCTTTATTTCTTTATCTCTCATGCCTTGTATAATCATACAGTCCTAAATGTTAGAAGGAAGAACTTTATTGATTAAAGCACAAATTAAAAGCATTCTTTTTGAAGGAATAAAAGTGCCTTTCACATTTAAATTATGTTTAAGATTATTTA